CCAGCGGGCGGGACGCGAGACCCGGACCCCGCCTCGAGTCCTGAAAAGATCACGGCGCGAGGTTTTTCACTAGTTTCTGCCTCTGGGGACCCTGACCGGCCCTCAGGACCGTCAAAAAACGACTCAGGATGAAAAGCTGGTCCCGGGGAATGGGTCCGGACCTCTGGGGGTCGCGTCATGAAAAATCATGACGTCGGAGGTCTGGGGAGAAGGAGAAGGCCTCCTCGGAAGGCGGCAAGGCTTCTCAGGAGCCCCCCCCCCGGCCTTCTGGGAGGTCTTCGGCGTCTCCGGGGAGAGCTGGAGCTGGGGGGCCACATGCGGACCCGACCCCATACCCCCCACGATCTCTGAGGGGGAGGGGGTGGGGTCCCCTCTGTCCTGGAGCTCCCGAGCGAAGGGAACCTCCCCCTCCCCCTCAGAAATCGTGGGGGGCAGGGGCAGGGTTCGCAGGATGGCCCCCCATGAGCACCTTCCCAGAAGGCCCGGGGGGGCTTCCGAGCCCTCCGAGCAGGCCCTCCCCCCGCCGATCGAAGATGGGGTCCTGAGGGGTGGGGCCCGAAGTTTAGGTCGGGCATGTCCCCCCACGGGCGGACTTTGAAGCGACAAACTGGACATACATAAAAAGAAATGCACAAGCAAGAGCCCATGGAATAGTAAAACAATGTTCCCCATGCTGTTTTTGCATATTTATTTGCGCATTCCTCCTGTGGAGGGACAAGCCCGACCAAACCCCACGAGTGGGACGGGGTTCAGGGGTGGATGCCACATCGTTCGAGGCCCCTCGTCGTGAGAACCCCATCGCTCAGGGCCCCATCTTTGATTCACCGACGCCTGCGCCTTACTTGGCGGCGCGCACGAGGGGGGTGGGGGGAGGGGGGAGGGCTTCTTAGAAGGCGCGGGCCTTACATCTATCTATCAGGCCCGCGCCTTCTAAGAAGCAGGGGTGCCTCTAAGAAGCCCTTCCCCCTTCCTCCACCCCCCTCTGCGCGTGGCTGAGAAAAACCGACACTTGCGCCTTACTCTGGACGCCCGAGATGGGTAATTACGGGAAGAAGGGGTACGAAACCCAACAACAAACGTTGTCCAAGACCGAAAGCGGCCGCTGCTGGGCAGTCGGCCTTCTGCCTCACATGGGCCACGTCCGCGGCGGCGCGGACAGCGAGACCTCTTCAGAATGAGCAGGAACTGCTGTTGGGCATCGTACGCAGACATCTGGCTGCTTCAATTCTTTCGATGCGTGGGCCCAAGATGCCTGGACCACTTCCCCAGGACCGGTTTTTCGCCCTTCGAGTCATTTTCTGACGGTCCCAAAGGCCGGCGAGGGCCCCTGGAGGCCGAAAGCGGCCCAGAACCGTTCGCTTTACTCTTTGTCGGAGCGTCCGATCTCTGGGTGCCCACTCTCCCCGTGCCCATCTCGTTCGTGCCGACCCGCGGCGCTTCCGGCGCCGCCCCCTGGCGCGCTCCGCGCGCCAGGGCTGCCCCTCGCTGGCCCAAATAAGTCCACGCGGGCCTTCGAGAGCTGATGTGCTCGTGCCATCTCGTGTGTCCAGAGGGCAGGCAGCAGGAGCTTCAAGGGAGGGGTGGTGCTCGGGGAGGGCGAAAGCGCCTCCTCCTCCTCCTCCTCCTCCTCCTCATCTTCCTCCTCCTCCTCCTCCTCCTCCTCCTCCTCCCCCACCTCCTTCGCCTTCTCCTCGTCCTCCTCGTCCTCCTCCTCCTCCTCCTCCTCCTCCTCTTCCTCCTCCTTCAAAGGGCAGGGTGGAGAATCAGCTCACTTGGCTGGTTTTCCTGGCGTCTCCTGGCGACGGGAGGCGCCCGCTGGGAGACGCCCGCGCATCGAGGCATGGGCCCGGCGGCGGGGCCGAAACCAGCTGCATGCAGCAGATCTCGCACCCTTCTCAGGGCGCAGAAAATCCACCCCGATAGTAGCCACCCCGGCACGCCCAAAGAAGGAATCAAACAGGGCAGTGCTGTTCAGTAAACGCCCGGGCCGTTTAGTAAACGCAAGTGTTCTGGTCCGGGTGGTTTTTCCTCCCTTGAAAAAAACAAGCCCACTTGAAAGCAGGCGAAATAAAAGCGCCCCCAACCAGGAAAACCAACACCGGCTACCAGCCTCAAGGCTCTTTTGCCTGGCTGGCCTCTCGCAACGTCGCTGGCGCTGAGCCTCAACCGTGCGTTCTTCATCGCTTTCTCAGCTCGCCTACGCACATCAGTACCCACCACCGTCGAGGAACAAAATACTGTCTGGGGCGAAATACATTAGTGTTCTGATCCAGGCCCCCGGCAAGTCCCCACGCCAAAGGCAGAAAAGGCGGAGGGCAACGTCTGCGTCGCATTGCACGCATGGCGAGAGATGGGTGCGCTGAAGCGGGTAGGGCTGAGGTTAACCACTTTCAGCGGAGCCCAGAGCCGAGCGAAGCTGCCTCCTGTTCGCCGAGGGCGTGCCCGAGCGTATGGCTGTGCCTCCACTCCACCTGACGGCCGCGCCCAGCATCGTTTTTGAAGCTTCGGTGCAAGCGGCGGCCTCTGCCCTGAGGCTGGGGAAACAGAGAGGGACCGATACCGCTACTCCTTGGACCTCTCCCGGGGTGTGTTCTGACCAGAATTTCAAGGCGAATCCAGAGGTGGCGACGAAGGCCTCCCAGGAGGCCGGAAAAGGGGAAAACGGCCGAAGGGTAGCGGTATAGGTACCTTCTCCTCCTCTGAGAGGCATGCAGGGACCCCGCCGCTTCCATGCATTGGGCCAGCTCGCCGCGAGCGGTCTCCGCGAGCATGACCGCCCGCTGGCCCTGCACGCCGTGGGCTTAACCAAAAAGGCTGGGCCGCTCGCCAACGCCGCCGCACACGAGGCCCAACTCGGCCTCCCTGCCGCCTCCGCGGCCGCGCGCGTCTCGTCGGACACGCTCCATGAGCTCCCCGCCCCCTGGCGGAGCACCCGCCAAGGCGGCCGAGATGCGCTGCTCCGTAGTCGCCCCCCCCTTGGCGCGTGGCGTCCTTCGCGTGCAGGGCCCTCGCTGTGGCCCCGAGCTGTGGCGTCCTCGCCGTCCTGCTCGTCGTCGCCAGGGCTGCCCGCTCCCTTGCCCGGGGCCGCACGCCCTGGGGGCCCGCCGCCAAGGACGCCCGCGGCGACGAACCCGCGGCCTGCACCCGGCATGCGCGGTCTCGGCCTGCTTGCCTGCTGCTCTGGAGCCCTCGGCGCGGACCGCAGGGCAAGAGAATAAGAGAAGAAACAACCACATGCACACGAACTTTTGGCGCTCCGCGCGGATTTCTTGGATTCGCGCTGGACCCCCCTCCCTGGCGCACGGAGCGCGTCGCCAGCGGCGCCGGACACGCCGCTAGAAAGGCCCAGGCGCGAATCCAAGAAATCCGCGTGGAGCGCCAAAAGATAATGCTTATGTGGCTTTTTCTTCTTCGAAAGAAGGGCGCGGCCTCTGTCCGCATGCCCGTGGTAGCAGCAGGACGTGCCTGAGCCCTCGCCTTCAAGCGGTGGTCCTTCTCAGACAGTCGCAAGGCGGCAGCCCCTGCCGCGTCGAGGCCTACGCTCACGTCGGAGTGGAGCGGACGCTGCAGAGGCCATCGGGGTGCATTGGCCGCGTGCGTCCCTGGACAAACCCTCCCAAGGTGTGCATGCTCAGTCCGAGGGAGTTGACTAAGTCTCGATGCATATGCTTGCAAGTAACTGGCAGCCAGAGAGGTCATCAGCCGAAGCCACGCCAACACTTTCTGCACCTGTAGTTTGTGTTGCAGCTCCAGCCAAGCTGCTGCGCGTTGAAATTTGAGACCGTCTTGGCGCACGCGAGTGGAAAGGAGCTGTAGCATGACGGAGTCGTGTGACTGACGGCATCGCTCGGTGCGGTGGTCGCGGGGGCAGGGGCGCCGCGAGCCTCCCCCGGGAACGGGCCCGCACGGCTGTCGTGCAGGGCAGCCCATCTCCTCTGAAGGCGGGGGGTGTTGCTTGTCTTGGGTCGGGCCTGTCCCCCTTCTGGGGGGGAGTTTGGGCGAAGAAGGAACAAGATTCAAGCATACTCCCAGAAATGCTCAAGCATCATCGGCAGATCGTCTCCATACTATTTTTTGACTACGTTTGAATGTCCCTACTGTAAAGGGGCAGGCCCGACTTGATGCTTGTCCCTTGTGCGCTCCTCGCTTTTGGACCAGCTGCCGTCAGTCAATGGCGCGTTGCCGAAGCCATCAGAGCGCCCTGCAGGCGTGCGTCCCCGGTTATGAGGTGCTTTACGAAAGTTGGCTTGCTCCGTCGGGGGAGCTGGCGCAGTCTTGATGAACTTGCTTGCACGTGCCTGGCAAACAAGAGGGGCCCGCAGCCAGTCTTGCCGCCCCCCTTCCACCAGCGCATCCAGCGCAGGAGCCAGGATGGTTGCGGAGAGGGAGGGAGAGGAGGAGTGGGAGGACGAGAAGGAACACGAGATTGAGAGAGATGAGAAGAAGAAGAAGAAGAAGAAAGGGCAGATCATGAGGAGGGGAGGGTACGAGGAGGGATGGAGAGCGTGATGAAGCAGAAACATGGACGCTCAAACAAAGCACGCGAGTGCGATGGAGGGGTGGGTGCGCACGCACTTCCTCTTGCTCCTCCTCGTCCTCCTCCCCCCTCCTTCTCCTGCTTCTGCTCATGCTACTCCTCCACCTCCTGCCACTTCCCACTCTCCATGTATCCCCTCCTCCACCTCCCATCTCCTGCTCATGCTCCTGTTTTTGCTCCCAGGTGCTTCCAAGCGTCGCGCGAGAATCAGAAACACAACGACTGGCGTTTTTTTACAGTTACATGCGAGGCATTTCTGATGGGCTTAGGAGCTGACAGTTACACGCAGGAGAGAAAATCCCCGCATGGCCGAGAACGCATGGTTGATAGGCGCGCCAGGCCCGAACATTTGCTACTTGCCAATGCCCGGTTCGTCGACACATCAGGACGTGTCAATTCGTTTTCCCCTTCGGTTGTAGGCATCACCGTCAATGTTCGGATCGTAGAGCGGCTCTTCGTTAGATCAGATGTCAATACTTGGGGTCACTGAGATGCCCGCGTGACTTTCTTCTGAAATCTTGTGCGACACATCGTCTCCATGGACCATGTCGGAACTCGACGGGTATTGACTGCGTGAAACAGCCCAAGTCCCGTTTTGGGGGAAGGTCTCTGCGTAGGACTGGAAGACAATGAGTGAAGTGCACGTGGATACGGCCATGACGCCCTGGCCGAACGCGATAGCTGCATCCTGGAAGGCCACGCCAGTTGTCAACGTCGAAAGCAGCTCGACCCTGTGGCCAGCGCCAGAGCCTGCAGGCCCCGGACTCGCAGAGCCCAACTTCTGCAGCTCGCCGACCTGGCTGCCAATGTACACGTCACCCAGCGCATCGATCGCGGGCATGGACCAACTATTCGGCGAACACTTCTCACGGCCGCCCATGGCCCGGCGGATTTCGGCACCCTCCTTGTCGCCTGCGCAATAGGTGGTCCACAACGTCGGGCCTCCAATGCTCCACCGCAAATCGCCGTTGTTTGGATCGAGGCCCCAGATCTTGGAGGTGGCACCGAGGTAACAATTGTAGCCCAGGGTGACCACCAAGCGGATGTGCATCTCAGGGGAGTTGAGCATGCCCATGGCGGCGCTGGCCGGCGGCTCTGGCGTCGATACATCCCAGAGCTTCCTGCCGGAACTGGCGTTGTAGCCGCGGATGAAGCCCTCTGTGCCCGGCCACGTCCCGCATGAAGGGGCAATGCCAGGCGCTGGATAAGGATTGCAGCGGCCCGCGGTGTAGTGCTTCACGCCCAGGGCAACGACGACGTTGTGGCCCGGATCGTAAACGGCGTGTGCATGGGAGTGGGTCCCGATGTCGCCACCGACCCTAAAGATTTCGTTGCCAGTCACATAGTCTAGGCAATAAACCCTGCCCTCCCAATCCTGAAAGAACACACTGGTGCCCTGGCCCCACAGCGGAACCATGTTCCAGACTGGCTGGAAAGTCTTGTATTCCCAGAGGGCGGCGCCGTCAACCGCACTCAGGCCGCGCACGTACTGATTGCCTGGCGTGAGGGGGTAGGTCTGGTTGCGGTACCTGTAGCAGTACCTGTCCACGCAGCGGTTGGTTGCTGCCACAACGACTCCGCCCTTGCAAGCCACAGCCCCCTTCACGCCAGCGGTCTCATTCGCGGCCCAGGTTGCCCACAGCTCGTCCCCGCTAGCGAGGTCGATCGCGAACACGAACCCCGAGGTGGTGCTCCCGACCAGCATGGGGGGCAGCGTGCTCTCTTTCGTGTCCACGCGCACGAAGCGCTTCTCCATGGTGTGCAGGTGCACCGCGCTGCTGCGCCCAGTGCGCTGCCACTGGATGACGGCCTTGCCTCCCTTGCCCTCGACGTCCAAGAGCGGGGCCACGCTGGAGATGCGACCCTGATCGCCGGCTTTGTACAGCTCCCTGCCGTCCAATCAAAAGCTCGCACCAGGCTTTACCTTGACGAGGTCGCCGACTCTGAAGTCCCTGGACATCTGAGCCCTGGTGTCTGCCTCGTTGCCGTTGGCCCAGTCTGGCCGCAACATGTCTTCCGCATCCCTGCGGCTCAGGCTGCTCACATCGCGCGTATCGGAAGCTGCCTGGCGCCTGCTGCCGCTGGTGCACAGGGTGGGTGCTGCTGCGAGTTGACCTCGGGGGGCGTAGCTCCATTTGATGACGCCAGTAACGTCAAACTTGCGGATGGCATCGTCGGCTCCGATATAGATGTTGAGCTCGTCGTCGACCAGGGGGCTGCCGACAGGGATGGTGCTGTAGACTCCAGCAGGGTGGTGCCAAGCCCAAGATATGTTCGCTGTGAGGTCCGCCGGGCCAACGTAAGACTGCTCGCTGTCGCGGTTGGCGGGGTCGCCCCAGAAGAACTTGCCGTCTGTCCTCTCGGTCTTCTTGATGGCTTCGTCTGTGTACCGGGTGACGCCTGCATTGTTCATCGTGCCCAATGTTGCGGTCCAGTACGCTTTATCTGCAGCGTACACACTCGTAACGCCGGCCTGGCTCTTCGTCTCGCTAATAAAGTCCATATCCGAGGATGTGTCGGACCTGCGGATACCAATAGCATCTGCAAGTAGCAGATGCAAGGCGGCCACAAGGACGCGAGCAGCAGCCATGGCCATCGGCAAGGTCAAGTAAGAAGAAAGTGGATTGTCGTACGCCGTGCTACTAAACTTGAACACCTGGGCGGTGGCAAAACAACTTTCTGAAACGTGGGGTCATTGCGACCTTCCGCAATTGCTTACGCAGACCGCTAGCGCGGCACACCAGATGGAGAAGAGGGCGCTTACGCGAGACCTACGCGCGACTTTACGAAGACAATGCGTGCGCGAACGTAATACGCGCAATCGACTCCTTGTGAAGTCGCTCACATAGCCCTGGAGGAGAAACATGGATGGGATGAGGCAAACATAGAGGCCCTACATGCCTGCACGGCTGCTGACAAAATAACGATCCGCGTGTGCATGAATGCCAGCCGCTGCACCGCAATGCTGGCTTCGAGTAATGCTTCGCGTGCCACACTGAGCAAGGTGGGGATGGAACCACGAACGGGCCCGTGAGAACACCCTAGCGGATCCACCTTGAGAATGCTGCAACCAGCGCCTCGCTCGAGATATCATCGGACCCTGCTCTGAACGCAAACGAGTCTGGCTACAAACACAAGCAAACCGCCAAAGACATCCTCGCAAGCTGAACCCCTGGCAGTGCTGAAGCCAGGGTTTTACCCGAGACATCCTCAAGATCTGCTCTGAACGCAGGCGGGCCTGGCCATCGAAACAAGCAAACCAGGCGACACATCCTGCCCCTCCCACCCACCCCCGAGGGTGCGAAAACCAGCGCCTCGCCCGAAGCATCCTCAACATCAGCTCCGACGCCGGAGGATTTTGGGCACGCAAACAAGCACACCGCTCGAGATATCACCGCAATCTGGGCGCGAACGGAGGAGTGAGATACCTCCTGGCGCCCCCCAATTGGGGGTGTTGAAACCAGCGCCTCCCTCTAGACATCCTCAAAACCTGCTCCGCCATCAGCATCATCATCATCAGCACCATCATCAGCATCATCATCATCATCATCATCATCATCATCATCATCATCATCATCATCATCATCATCATCGTCAGCATCATCATCATCATCATCGTCATCATCATCATCATCATCATCATCATCATCCTCGTCATCAACATCCTCATCACAATCATCCACATCGTCATCCCCGCCATGACCATGATCAGCACCATCGGCATCACCATGATCGTCATCATCATCATCATGAGCATCATCATCAACATCCGCATCATCAACATCAGCATCATCAACGTCAGCATCAACATCTTCATATTCATCTTCATCTTCAGACTCTCTTCATCGTCACCATCATCACCATCAACATCATCAACATCACCACCGTCATCATCACCGTCACCACCATCATCAACTCATCATCACCTGCATCGTGGTCGCCGTCATCATCGTCACCATCAACATCATCATCGTTGCCATCATCATCATCAGCATCATCATCAGCACCATCATCATCATCATCAGCATCACCATCATCATGATCATCAGCATCGTCGTCATCATCATCTTCATCACAGTCATAGCAAAACCTGAGTAGTGACCCTGAGTGTGACTCTGAATGGCACTGATTAGTGAGGAAGAGGAGGAGGAGGAGGAGGAGGAGGAGGAGGAGGAGGAGAGAAGGAGGAGGAGAGAAGGAGGAGGAGGAGGAGGAGGTGGTGGGTGTGCGGGTCCTCGGCGCGGTGAAACGAATGACTCTACGCGGCGATCCCCATATGTGCATCTAATTGCATGGCCCTGTCCGCTGCGAGTGTCTGGGTACAAGAGTCTTGGTAGGAGTAGTCTGAGTATGAGAGTCTCAGTGCGGGTGAGCCTGAGTGCGAGCGAGCCTCTGTGAGTGCGATTGAGTCCTCGTGGGAGTAGGTGTCTGCGTATGAATATGAATTTGACTAAGCTTACAGTGTAGGTGTATCTGAGCCCGAGTGGTCTGAGTATGAGTGCGAGTGACTCTGAGTAAGAATTACACCCTGAGAGGGAGCAGGCGTGACGACAGAGGAGAGAAGGCGGCAAAGAGGCAACTCTTTCTTTCTCCTCCTGCGTCCCCCTTCGTCATAAACCGTCCTTCCTCCTCCTCCTCCTCCTCCTCCTCCTCCTCCTCCTCCCTGCCGGCCATCCTTCCCCCCCCCATCCACCTGCGTCCTCCTCCTTCTCCTTCTCCCTCCTCCTCCGTCCTCCCTTCTCCCTCCTCCTCCCTGACAAGTGTCCCTCTCCCTGGCGGCTCCTACTCGGGGTGCCCACATGCATTGCACGACTGCTTTCTCGCGGAGACCATGAGGCTCTCAAACGAGGGAGGCCTGGGCCACCAAACAGGCATCACGCCTGAGACATCCTCACAATGACCGCGAACGGGGAAGCGCAGCATACCCTGACGGCTCCCCCTGGGGAGTGCTGAAACCAGCGCCTCGCTCTAGACATCCTCACCGCCTGCTCTGGAAGCAGAGCCTGGTGGGCACCTAAACGCGTAATCCGCACCTAAACCCCACAATCTGTACGCGAAAGGGCCCGTGAGCACATTCTAGCGGATCCCCTTTGAGAGTGCTGAAACCAGCGCCTCGCTCGAGACATCCTCAGACTCTGCTCTGAACGCCGACGAGTCTGGCCACCCAAACAAGCAAACCGCCAGAGACATCCTCGCAAGCTGAGCCCCCGGCGTTGCTGAAACCAGCGACTCACCCGAGGTATCCTCAAAATCTGCTCTAAACGCAGACGGTTCTGGCCACAAGCAAACCGCGCGACACATCCTCGCACTCTGGCCCCACTGGGGTGCGAATGCCAGCGCCTCACCGGAGACATGCTCAACCTCTGCCCCGAAAGCGGAGGATGTTGGGCACGCAACCGAGCAAACCGCTCGAGACATCCCCGCAATCTGGGCGCGAACGGAGGAGTGGCGCAAACCGCTCAA